TGATGCACGGACTTTCAACTTTCAACATCTAATTTCCGTAACACTTGGAGCGAGCAGGCGTCGTCTGGAGTTTGTCCGTTGGAAAACCATACCATTCGTAAAATTTCTATTCAACCCGTGTCATAAATTAGTCGAAAGCGAAACAGCATCGGCTTATCTGTTTTCGATCGCTCTTAAAAATATCCAGCCGCGTTGAGACGTAATTACGTAAACGAAGAAAAAAAAGATAAAATAAATCAAAATGATAATAACATAATAGTAAAATATCATTAACACGGACAATACAGATATTTGTCGATATTTTCAAATAAAATAATTATAAATATATTTTTAATTCAACGTGAAATTTTTCAGGTGGATGAAAATTGATTAGCAGATTAGAAATATAACGTAATGATCAACCAACCTACGACATCCAAATAACCGGTTTGACTCTTCATCGGATCGGTATTTATCTGGCACATATAAGCACCTCGATCGGATTCGGTCACATCGCGTATATGTAAATGCCATGTCTTGCGTTCGGTATGCGTTACTCCGATTCTATGATTCTTTGTTATCACATGATTCGCTATCGTTAGAATAGTTTGTGTATCCACACGCAACCATGCTACCTGAAAAAGAAAATACGAGATAAAAATGTATCCAAAAAATTTATCCAAAATTTATATTTTGAATACAACGAAGTTTGATTTGAATTTTATTTCTTTCTTAAAATATTATTTTATAAATAAAATTGAAACGAAACAAGAAAATATAATATACATATTACGTATGTAAGTTCGTCAAAATATGTAGCAATTAACATTGACGGAACGTAACGCAAAGTCGGATTAAAAACAATAATATTACAAATAAACGTTTAAATACATGTATCTGTTCGATCATTTAATATTTGTTATATTACGTTTGTTACGTTGAAATATTTAAACGTTTGTAACGATTTATTATAGCATTTTCATCTATCTATATATGCGTTTTCGCATAAATTTTCTTTCAACCACAACACATCTGTTTGAATAATGGTAACATATATAGGATCGATACAACAACAACAACAACGACCAATCCTGATTTATCGGTCTTCGTTATCGTGCAGTCAGGATAATTAGAACACGACTAAGAGTAAGAATTCAGCCAGCAAAAATTTCCCTCTACGGAGAGAAAATTCTCCCGTTTTTTTCAGAAAATCCTTTCTTTAATCATTCCTGGATGTATCCTACTTTTTCTTCGATTTTTCCGTTCTTTTGTTTATTTACCTCATTACTCGTTTCTTAGTTTTTTATTTTTCTCGTGTTTCCTATCCAATTACTTGGTTACTTGGATTTATTTATTTTGAAATTTCTTCTCTTTAAGAATGGAAGAAATACACTTATCTTAAAATTGAATCGGTCAATATAAAACAAAGTGAATATAGATACGCACACAGAGTGTTAATATTCATTAATCAAGTTTATTACTAAATTCCATTAAATTGTTAATTTAAATGTAAATACTTATATATTTGTGTGTGTGTGTATTATATATGTGAGATAATATAAAATGAAAGGGAGAGAGATTTTAATAGATTATTTAAACGATCGTTTCAATGGGGAAAACTTTGATTTAATAAAATAATTATCTGATTTTTATATCATAGTATATAAAATTAATGATCGAATTTTATAAAACGATAAAACTATATTGTAATTATCTACATATTGTATTTAAAATATGATATCAAAGGATAAAGAGAAATTATTTTATTTTTCCATTATATTAGTCAAGAGTACAATACATGTTTCGATGAATTGGGAGAATTTCTGAAAGCATTGTACGTTCGAATAGTAACAATAGTAATGCATTCGTTGTATTTAATCAAGCGTCGAACAATCGTGCACGTTGAATTAACTGAACGTCACACCCACGAATCATCCACGTTCTGTATGACCACGAGCCTGGATAAAATGGTTGCCGTTTGAGAATGAGAGACATCATTTCTCTCTAGTAACTGGTCCCTTGTCTCCCTCAATGTCCATCGCAATATCTTCGTACAAATCACCTTGAAATTTAGTTTCTTTCTATATATACAACTTATATAAGTTGTATCATTTACAAATATTATATACTATCGACGCGATTTAATAAAATTTATTTTTCCTCGTTTTTATCAATCGTTAATCTTAATTCCGAGAATGAAATATATATATGATCTTTTCCTATTTTATTTTAGGTCTAAATATACTTTGGTAAGTATTTTCCTTTTTTTTCTAAATTCTTTTCTTTAACTCGTTAATTATTACTAGATAATTATTTATTTTGTTTTTTATATTATCAATAACACTCGTCGATATAATAATAAGACAGACTTTTTATAAAGAAATTCAATATCGATATAGGATGCAGAATTGATGATGTTGGAAAGTATTTTTCATTATTTAAGAAAATTTTAAAAATTTATATGCGTATATTATTATAAAAATACATTGTATTTTTAGCGATAATTAAATCTTTCTATTAAATTTAAAACAAGATACGTAACATTTATTCAATGTTGCTTGATATTCGCTATCATATTATTACGTTATAGTTAAATTATATTTTTAATTAAACGTTTGTTTTTGATCTAACATTTCTAAAATTTCATAAACTTTATATACGTATAGTAATTAACATAATTTCTATCTTTTCTATCGAAAAATTACTTTCAATTGTCTCTTTGAGTAAATTACAACGTCTCTTAAAAAATTTAATATGGAATTAATTAATTAATATAGTAAAATACATTCATATTTAGAAATATATGACAAAAATATCTTTGAACTTATATCACACTATATATAATATCTTCAAAATACAGAAGCTTAACCAACAGGATGTACCACGTCCCATTTTGTAAATTCTCGTTCTCGACTAATTAAAGCGTTCGTTCTCTTTAGAACCATTTCAATTTTACGAGGGCGTACGTATTTTTTTCTCTTTTTTTTGTTTAAACATTTTGTTCGTCGACTAGCACCAGTTCCTTACATTAAAACGGAGAAAAAAAAAAAGAAAAAAAAAACAGAGAGGGAACGAAAAAATGCATAGAAAATTCAAATTCCATCGAACAGTGAATAGAGACATTGGAATTTAGTTACTACGCGATTCGTTCTCTTACAATTACACGTCTATTCATATCCTACGCGTTTCATACCCTAAGATTTTCCAGACATTACACGATTCCTATTATGTAATTTCTGCTACGTCTGCTTATTCTCTTTTGTAGCGAAAGACAAAGGATCTTAATATCTTAAGCTTTGTTTCCCATAACTTTTTCAACGAATTCTTGAAAGAAAATCATAATTCTATTAGTAATAATGAGAATATATTTTTAACACGCGATATTATTCTCTTGTTAATTATTTCGATATATATGAATCAAAATAATGAATGATGAAAATATGAAAATAATTGTTAGTCGAATATCGGTGGAAATAATTGTGGAATCGTGAATACGTGAATGAATTACCTCAAAATCAATCTATAAATTAAAAATGATTGTTAAGACTTGGAAATATAACGATACGTGTGAACGAAAATGAATCGAATGTCATCTTTTCTCGTGTGGTAACTGTAACGGGGAACAGAGCAGTACCATTTTTCTTTTTTTTTTTTTTTTGGCAATCGTTACAAAGAAACTGACGCGTGTAACATAAGTACGCGTAAATAATTTCTCTTTTAGAAAACGTTTTTCTTCTTTATTCCGATATTTTAAGTTATTCGCGATTATGCAAGTGTGCGAGAGTATATTAATCATTTTCATAATAATAATAAAACTCGTATCCTAGACGTTAACGCAAAGGTTAGTAAAATTTAATTTATAGCAATTCATTGCATATATTCATTTATGTAAATGCTACATTGCTTAAGCGTCATCACGATCAAAATGTCGCGATGTACGATTGATTTGAAAATTGTTCGTAACAGAACGTTTATATTTGCTATAAACGGAAACATTCAACAATTACGTTTTGTACGATATTTTTATATCATTTAATAACGTAAATTAAATTATCGTTATAAAATTGTCGAGAATAGATTATTTTAAAAAGATTCAATCGAAGTATTTCCAAAATATGGAATATGATGGAAAGACGTGATTTTGAAAAATATTAAAAAAATGCTATTTTGCTGCATCGATATCATTCATCGAAAATTTAAACGAAAGAGTTGAATCACATCGCTTAATTGATGTAATCGTTGGTCGTATGTCGAAATAAAAGAAATATCTTATTATATCTTATATTTATACTATTATGAGACGGGAAATATTGGAAAATATCGAAAAATTGATAGCAAAACGTAACGTGATTATCATGTTGAACGTGGTCCAACAGGTATGTTACGTTCTCATTGAATTATTACACTACCTGTGTAACGTGCAAAAATAAGATACGATACGAGTGAATCAAAACGAAAATGAGAATAAATTTATTTAGATTGAAAACGTAATTTGATAAAGTGATGAACGAATGGTTCAAAAACAATCGGTAAAATGGATAAGCTGATAATGGAAGCAGTTTTGTCTATTGTCCTAGATATGTGTACGTACTGCGTATATACATGTTAGTTCAGTTTGGCGCACGATATCACATTTCATTTCCTCCGGGTTATTTAATTTTCCATGTTCCGCAAGTTTATTTTCTTTTGTTTTAAAGATCTTACAAGATCTTTTTTTTATAAAATATCTTCTTCCACTAATATCATTATTTACAACGATAATATCGTACAAAAATTACGAAATATGTAATTGTGAATGTTCCTTTTGCGATCAGTTAACGATTATTTTTTTAATTATTTTTCAAAAATAAAGAAAAATAATTTTTCATTTTGTGAAATTAATTTTGTAGTTCGAAGTATAGTTTATTTTCATTTATCAAATATGATAATGATAAATAACGCGAGAAAAAAAAATATATTTATATAAAAATGAATTAATATTATAAAATTGAAGTAAATAACAAAGTTTGATCAAGTTTGATCGAATGTTACAAATTGGATTATTTTTTCACTAAAATTGAACTTTTCCTATCATCCTACTATGCGAGTGGAGAAAACTTTTCATTTCCTTGTCGTTATTTATTTCTGATCGAATGCTTTTCCAATTAATCTTTTTTTATAATATCGATAGTTTGTTTTCGAAAGAAAATAACAAGATTCCGAGTCAATCTCGAGTTTTAACCTTTTCTTAACTTCGTATATGTATAAGAATATTCGTGCGTATTTTTATAGATGAAAACTGATGATGTCGTGAGACAATGTTAAACGATACGAAATATATAAGAAGGAAATAGAAGAAAGTATATTTTTAAATGAAATTTATATTACGTTTTTATAAACGTTTCTGTACAAAATGTAAAAGAATACAATCATTATGTATCTTTTCTTTTTTAGATGTAAATTAAACGAAACGTTCAAAATATCGATGCGTTAAAAATTGTAAATAACACGATTAATCGTTTAATCGTTTTATAAGGCTCGAAACTATTTCTTTTTTAATCGCTTTCTTTGTTTTTCGAGTTCGTTACTCGAAATAATTATCAGTTTCACGGAACTTTTTAATTAAATTTGTGATCAGAAAATCATTCTTTGTACG